TGAACAGGGCGGCGGGAGGGCGCGGATGTGGCCCCACACGGCCTCCGTGGCTCCGGGTGTCCCTGGCGTGCGGGAAGCGGCGAGCGTGGCCCTGACTCGATCCCGGGGTCTTGTACGCCTCCCTGTCTGCTTAAAATGCTGCAGTGCTGGGTGGGACCGTGTCCTCAAAGAGCCCCTTCTGTGGCCCAGTGCGGGGCTTGGCGCTCGGGCAAGGTCTTGGTGGGCATTCTCCTAACCCTGACACCTTCTTGTTATTGAGCGCTGAGAAATGTACAGTATTGTTTATAGCTCTGTGATGTTTGCAGCAAGGGGAAAGGGACCTGTTGTTCCTGTGCTAGCATGGGGGAGTTCTTGTTGGTGCAGTGGATTGCCAGGCCTTCATGATGGCATATGTCACTCAGGGCTCCAGGGGTGACAAGAGAGAAAGCTGTGGATCTTCTGCTATTATGGTGCACGGTACAAAGCCAAGCAGTTCACGAAGTATGAATAAAATTCCTGGACTCGATGGTACAAATAACATAGTGGGCTGACCCACTAAGTCAAAATAAATGACATATAAAACAAGTGTAGGATAAGAAATGCCGTGTATGTTTAATGATAAATAACAGGACTTACTGTTCCAGCAGGTACATATTAGCACAGGGAGAGTAGGAGTTGGGAGAAGTGCTTCCATTGAGGCATAAAATGGAAATGCTATCTTAAGAAAGTGGGAGCAGTTCTTCAGCGTGGTTTCCAACTGTGACGCCAGTCCTGCACAGCAGAAGATGGATAGACTGGCACCGTGAAGCGCAGCTTGTCTTTGTCCGTTCTTCCCAATGCACAGCAGTGACTCTTTTAGAAACTCTAGTGCCGTGTGATTAGCTTCTTTCACTATTTAATCTCCTAGGATCCATTTTAAGCATTTTCATTTTTATTTCCATGTTGATCTCATTTCACTAAAAGGCAGCTCATTAATTTCTTTCTATTAATTGTGTCTGTCATGTAAAATATTTATCTTTTTTTTTGCTTCACATGAAGCCAAATGCTTTCAGCTCCCATTGAGATTAGCAAAGGTTGGGGGAAGGGATGGGAAGAATACTAGTTTGGTCCTCAATACTTCTGTTTCTGAGGTATTTTCCCAACACTACAAGGGTCAGACAGAGAGGCCAGAGTCTGCATTCTGCATGCACGGGGGCGTTACAGGGTGGTGAACGATCTTCCTCAGGGTCTGATGTATAAAACTGGAGGGGCTCTGAATCGAAAAGGTTTTCCTTCTACTTTCTTTTTTTTCTTTAGCTGTTCTGATAAAAGGCCTTCCCTTTCCCTCCAAGCCTTGCTTCCCTCATATTCCTTGCCTATTAGGTCTGCAGTTGCTACTGTAAAGATTTACGTGTTATCTTATAGAGGGAAATTATTAATAATCGTTCTTGTAGAGTCAAATCTTTAAATAGGTATGACTCCTCCTTATCCCTTCCCCTGACCTGCTTTACTAGCAGCCTTTCCTTGTTCCCGCTGTGTCTATCTTTTCTCTGCCAACTGTGATTAAGCAGCCTTTTCTGGCCAATGGTCAGGTGTGGCTGTTGCTGAGCTGTTCTCTCAAGCACAATACTAGATCTGGGGTCTCCAAAAAGAAAAAAATGGGGTTTTTTTTTCCTAGTGGAAGATCACTACTGTGCACCTCTGAAAGTCCTACTTTCTTCTCGATTTGCAGTAAGCTTTCAGCTAGCTCTTTGGTGATATGTGATGCCTTCTTATGTTCCTAATAGTCCTGAAACTAGAGATTTGTACAGGTTTTTAGCGACAGAAGAGTAAATAGGGTTTTTTTTGTGAAAGTCCAGTGGTAATTTTGATTAGGGTTTATACCCTTCATTTTCTAGTACCTCTGGAATAAGGTTTCTTTCCTTTTTGGGTCTCTCTGGAGTTCTGAATAAATTACTAAGTCCATAAGTGCCTGTATCCATTTAGATAATTCCATGGATTTCTAATCCAGTATTTACTGCTACTAATACAAAGCAAGTTCTGTGGAAACTTTCATACTTGAGCATTTCAGCTGATGATGCATATACATGCATACATTTATATATAATATTTGTATTTTAAAAATATGTAAAATATATTTGCTTTATATATTTAAAAGGAAGCAGCAGGAGTAAAAAAATGTAGAGCAAAACTGAGAGGTGGGAAATGTTTAAATGTAAGAGAGGAATGATGTGTAGCATTTTTCTTAAAATGCAAAATCACTATTTTGGAACTGTGAAAAGATAGATAGTTTCATTTCAAAAATACAATTAAGAAGGCAAAAGAAGAAATAATGTACAACCAAATGGGGAAAATGGAGATTAGCAATCAGTAAAATATAGCAGCTAAAGAACTGAAGCACTTGGTGGGGAA